AAGAAAATATTTTCTTCCGCGTGCAAATGGTGTGGGGCGCGAACCAAAGTTGCAGAACGAATTAAGTTTGTGAACCGAGGTACCACTGTATATCCTGTTTTCCATGTGTCTCCTCTATATTTTCATTTGAAAAATCATATTGGAGCCTAATCTGCATGGGGGGGAGGGGCACGCATGCATGCACACACTTTCTAGGTGTGCTGCCTCAGCAGGTGGCATCACTGACTGACTTAGTCTGGGCTTCAAAGCTAAGCAAGGTCAGACCTGGGTTAAAATGTGGATGGGAGACCATTGGGGGAATTCCAGGGCTTCAGGCTAAATTGGGAAGTCAAGAAATCATCCTAGAAGAAGGCAGTGGTAAACCAGTTCAGTACTGTTGCATGGATATGCCTATGAAATTTTATTTATGCAGAATATTTTAGCTGACTAATATCACCAATGCAGTATTGTAGTTATCTCTGTTGGTAGCAAAATGATATGCCTTTATGAATAAGGGTAAATATATTACACGTATTGCTTACTGAAAAAAAAAGCCCTAGATTCAGTAATACTTCATTTTGATTAGGTTTCTTTGTACTTTATTACAGGTTTATCCTCCGTAGAAGCATATAATGTGAAGACTAATGAATGGTTTCATGTAGCTCCGATGAACACAAGGAGAAGTAGCGTTGGAGTAGGTGTAGTTGGTGGTAAGATCTCTTAGCCTAAGTTGAGTCTGCTCTCTGCATGACTCAACTTTTAACACATTTAATCCTAAAGGCCCTGCCTATTCAAAAAAATATACCTTTTAAAGCATGTGAAGAGTTTTATGAAGGCAGAGTACAACTCCATTCTGAACGGAAGGCCCAGGAATTCTATCTTCACTCTTCCCCTCTTGTTTGCCATCCTTCTCTCCCATCCTTTCTTGTGCTGCTGTTCTGCCAGTATTTTCTTGGCATAGAGTATAGAGAGCTTTTGTTATCTATTTATTACAGGGAGGAATCCCATTTTCTTTACATGCCTTCCCATCACACCACCTCAACTAGCAAAGCCATTCCTCCTTTGTTAATCTCATCAGCTTTCTTATTGTATTTGATGTGCTTCATCTTATTGAAGGATTAGCTGTATTTATTTAATGTTGTATATCACCTGGGAAACATTGCATAACAAGAAGCACAAAAAGAATTCAGTAAATAATAAGGAAAATGCTATGCTCCCCCTTAAAAAAAAAAGCAATAAAACGTAACCCAGTTGTACCACTTTACATCAGATCCAATGAAATATACACTAGAAGCCTTGACCTGTTGCCTGTAAAGTAAAGTAAGGCTGAAACTGAATGGCTGTTAATCAGAAGCCAACTGATTCCAGGATAGTTCTGACATTAGCTGCAGATCGGGTTGTGGTTCCCCAGAAGGAGCTGGTCCACAAACTAGGGGTTAGCCTTAGTTCAAAACTAGTGGTGGAATAACAAGTAAAAGCTGTGGCCCAGAAAGCCTTTGCCCAACTCCAGCTGGGGGCACTAGTTGTGGCTTTTCCAGGAACAAGAGGCACTGGGAACACTCACTTATGTCCTCATCATCTTTTCAATTGGGATAACCTAATTTGTTCTACGCAGGACTGCCAAAAGGCCACCTGGAAATTTCAGCTGGTAGAAAATGCAGCTACTCATCTGTTTTACAAATCAGTTATGGAGAATCCCCCAGTCTTGCAGACAGGCACGCTGGGGTCATGCACTTCATGAAGTGTATGAGACCAGGACAAAAAAAGTGTTGGCTTTATTATTGTTGCTGATGTTTGACTGTATATTCTGCTGCTGCACCCTATGGAAGATCATTCCCCCTGAGATCAGGCTGGCCCTGACCTTGATGGCTTTCCTGAAGGGCCTGAAGACCTGGCTTTGCCATCTGGCCTGGGGATCAGAGAGTGCTGTGGAGAGTATAAACTGGCTGTACTGTTCCTGAATGACTGTGCTCTCCTGGTGACTGTACTGTATGGTTTTTAATTGTTTTTAATTATTTTAACATTTTGTATTCGTATCCCCTTCATGGATCACTGCCTTGTCGTGGCGAAGGGGCTTGCGTAACTCAGTGAA